AATAAAATAAGGCAGTGGACAGTATATGAAAATCAAAAATGTAATTAGTCCATCAGTTTGATAATCAAAAAATATTAGACACAATTTATTTTTACTTTGTCGTATAAGAAAACAATATTTAGATAAAACGGGAGGTCGTTACGTCATGCTATCCTATAAAATAGTTAGTAAGAGTCTGACACTCCCTCCCGCCTCACCCAGGCGGGAGCAGTCATTCGATGATTTTCCCCCATAAAAAAACAAAAATAAAAAATAACCCTATAAAATAATATAGTAAATCGTGACGTCACACGATATTTCAAATCAATATATCGTCGAAAGCATTTAATTTAGTAAGAAAAGGAAAAAAACGTAGCTAGTTTTTAAAAATAATCTAAAATAAAACATTAATATGAAATTTTGGATTCTACTCTATTGAAACCTACTGAACCTGTTGATCTAGAATAGGACCATGATCATGAAAAGGCCCCAAAAGGCTGTAACGCACTTGTAACACCTCTGGTGTTCCGGTTTTTTATTTTTGGACAAGCCCGCCACAACCTCCCGAAACCGCTGCAACTCCTGTAAGCCAGGATCTACAGTAGATACAACCATGAAAACACCGTAACATTGAAGTCCGGCGCGTCCCAGGGACATGAGTAACTGTCTTGGTTCCCGCAACGAAGTGAATCAGAAGATATTATAAGAGGAGAAGAAGAAAAAACTATAGTTTCCACTTCCCTCGGTGAATTACTGCAGGAGACAGAATGAATTAAGCCTAAAGGCACAAAGAAGAGACTGTACAACTGGGTGAAGCCCAGTCTCCAAGCACCATGGAAAATTGACTAAAAAAACTAAGTGGGTCCTATGTGTGAGCTGTTATACTTGCTTCCAAAAATAGGTATGGCAAAAGCGCCTAAACGCACCTGGTGTTCCGGTTATCCATGGGCGACACCGATTGCATACCATACCTATCCATCTGCTCTCACATAAAAATAATGAGTATCCAACTACCGCCGAACACCCATCCCATTCTTGTTAGCTCACAGCCACAGGGTAACAAAACTAGGCATTACCATGTTAACCTTAGCTACAGCAAAAACAGTAACCATATATAGCAGGTATATAATAGGTAATTCCTAGACTTCTAACATATCTGAGCCTAATCACGGGCTTCAGGCTTTAATTAATTACGCTCAAGCATATTGAGAACAAAATAATAAGGCAATAAAGTACTTGTAGCCAATTATATTTTAATTAAGTGCCTTAAATTGTAGGTGTCTCGTGTTACAAATATGAAAATAATTTCCATGAAATAATATAAAATCAAATAGGTTATTATGATATTAATTTTTGTATGAATATCGTTAACCTTACATGGATTTTGTTTTTAAAGGAATAGAGGTTATTTTCCTTTGATTGAATATGTATGTTCAGTTGCTATGTATGTGAGTCGGTTGAACTGAGTGGATTTAAGTTCGATGAACTTGGCCCATCGCCTGTTTTTATACTTCGAAGATGGCACTTCTAACTTTCCAGTCATTTGGCACACGGTATCGAGAGCGCCATCTAGTAGCGTAATGAGACAATTCAGAACTTTGAACTTGGTATAAAATGTGGACAAACCAATCGTGTAATGTACTGTAACCAGATGTAACGAAAACTATAAGTTCTGTCCAATATTGAAACTTATAATAAAACCCAACGAGTAAACTCTATTATGACACTGTAACAATAAAAAATGTTACCTAAATAATAACTCTTATGAGGTAAAAAATAAAGTAGTAAACCGTAAACTATGTCAACCAGAACAGATATATAAATAAAATATACTGAACACTTAAAGAAAACCCAACAAAACTCATAGTAATTTTATCACTATAGAACAACGTCGCACCACCCTTCCACATTAACAGCCTACTGCTACAGTCCACGTTATTGAGTTCGATCTTCAGCTCTATACATCCAACCCCTGCTAACCACCTTACGGATATCGTCATTCCACCTAGCTTGACGACGCCCTACACTACGTTTGCCTAGACGCGGTCTCCACTCCCTAACACGTTACTACATACATTTAAGCTATAATGCTAAAATCACTAACAAATTTTACCCCATACCAGGTCACTGGGTAAAATGCCGCAAAAGGATAGTGTCGCCCACTACGATCTTAGCACTAATCTTACAAACTATAGTTAACTTTGAACTGACGTCGCCAGTTTAAATGTTGTTAGCTAACTTCAGTTCAAGACTTATAAAAGGATTTAAGTCATTTGATTGTAACGTTAACCTATTTAGTTTGACAATAGTGTGAACACTGGTCATTGGGTAAAATATTTTTTGTAATAAACCGAAATGTTTAAGAAATAGGCCTGAATTTTGTATTAAAAGGAGTCTCTAACTTCTAAGTCTAATAATAATCTGTTTTTATAATAACTATTGTGAGACATGCCGAATAACTAAGCCTACTGACAGTAGGCTGCGTGAAGTCGCCGCGATCGCGCACGTTGCTTATGAGGAAAAAGTTAGAATCTGAAGAGAGATCTGTTTTGAAAGTAGTAATGTTTTTCTCGGTATATTTACGTAACTCGTAATTTTTTGATAAATTAATTGCTGAATGAATTTTTTTATTTCGTACATTATTTTATCTATTGCCGGTAAAAGGCTTGCCATTTATTATAGTGAGGCTATAATACTAAGATTGATTAAATTAAAGGACAAATACTCAATAGCCACTCAACTTTAAGTTGCGCTTAAGTAGTACCTACAATCTACATTCGTGACTGTGTGTGACTGAACTTTGAAACAAAGAAAGGGCTTCTTTGAAAAATAACAGCACGATATTTGTGTACAACTTAAAACTGAGTAACCAACAGGTAAAATACAAAAACCAATTTTTTGAGAACTAACTGAACAAGGTAGTGTATTTGTACTATCAATAAAATTAACAGACGATCTAACAAAGGTCGCAACGAGCCATTGGATGCAGATCACTTCCAACCGGCCAATCTTAATTTACTGCGCCTATGTTCCGTAGAACCCTTTACCGACGAGCATGCATGAAAAGACTTATGACTGTTAAGTAAGCGAAAGAGGTTTGTAAGAATCGTAGCAATTAGCGTTCCATTACATCCGCTGCCTACCACCATGGTTTGTTAAATAGCAAGTAAATTGTCCATTATAAAAAAAAGGTTATGATCAAAAAGGTTTTCAATATATGAATCAGTGTTTACCAAATTATAAAATTAGGTACAGTACCTAACATATACGAACAAAAAATTATGACGCACATTTTCTTTTGAGTTAGTAAAACGCCCGTAGCGTATAACATTGCTACAAATACATATTTATTTGAAACGCGGTTGAAATACCATTTTCTTATTGCCTTAAAAAGATCAACGAATCGAGACCAAATCTACATGGGACTAGCAAGTTCGATGTCCTGATTAAGGTATTTACTCGTTTATATTTCCGTTTCGAAATTTTAATTATTAATATCAAGTCTTAAACCACCCTTTACTTTTTATTTGAGTGTAATTATAGTAATATAATTATACTATTTAATTTAATTGCCATTCAACGTGGCAATGCTGCCAGTTTTTTGGGCACCTTACCTCATGACAATGACTAGGATGTTTTTTTTTCTAATTCTTATGTTTATTTTAGTTTAGCTACTTTATTATTTATTTATTTGAACCCTAGGTATTTATTATTTGGTTTAAATATATATAGTTAGTTAAGCATTACGATTGCCCATAATATAATCATTTTCAAAGAAAATATAGTACATTTTTTTACACTAAGTCTCTTCAACAATATGAAGTCAATATTACTATTAATATGTTTAAAAGACTCACCACTATTATACAAATCTTATAACTTAACTGGTTATAACGGTTATTATATTATTGAAGCGCTTACACTATTGCCAGGGGGGTAACTAAAATTCATCGAATTTGGGGCCCCCAATAAAAACAGAGAAGTTCGGATGAAAACCTTTGAACAGGGGTCCCTTCTTTACAGGGGGCCCGTGACATTTGCATCTCGACGGTAGCAACAATGCACACGGCCCACCTGATGGTAAGTGGTTACCGTGGCCTATGAACGCTTGCAACACTTGAAGCGATAGACGCGCCTTGCCGACCCTTAAAAAACCTAGTAACGTAAAGTTATGCCACTGAACTCTGCCCACCCTTTTGAAAATCAAAAAGGTGTGAAGTATGAAAGTATACTATCCAACCCGTCATATATAAAGCACATGTCATTTTTATATCTCCATTTTCCCCCCATAAGTCTATTCTCCGATTGAATAGTCGTCAATCACCACTCAAAGTGTCATATAGAAGTATAAATCGTACTGAGACTAAACCGAATGCTATGCGATATTGAGACTATGATGGGAATTGATTGATGTGCACATAGGTTCAAAATGCTATGGCAATCTTGTGATAAAAGTATTTTTTGGTTCGTTTTTTTAATTGTAGCTTTATTGTGTTGTAGTAAAATAAAAAAAAATTAAAACAGTGCGATATTTAATTTTGAATTGCTGTTTTTAACAGGATTTTCACTGAACGCGATTATCGAAACTCAATATTAAAACGTATCACTTATTCTGAACTTTTTGTAATTCAATATTTTCAAGCGAAGATGTGTTCAAAGCAAAACGTGCAACATTAAATTGTTCTTGAGTTATTTATTGCTTTAAGAATATCTCAAAATATCCCCGCTGGGTTTAATTAATCCCGTAATGAAGCCATAAATATCTCTTCAAAATTCCGACGTAATATCATCAACATACAAAAAGGGAAGAGTCCTACAAAGAGTATTTCAAGTATTATAAAGATAAAGTACCTCCATAATTTTTATGAAACAACATCAAGCCTTATTTAAGATCTTCGCGAAATTTTAAACTTGGCAAATTAATTACAAGCACTCAGAGAATCGTAAAAGAAAATTTTCGTCCATAAAGACGTTAAGCGCTGCCATTAACTAATCATACTTATCATTAAAATTATCCATACCATTTTTCCGAACCATCAAACAGGTTTATCGGCAAGCTCGGAACTCCTTGTATCCAACACACACATCATTCGAGTACCGCACTAAATAATACACACATCCGTTACAAACTATTACACCAAATACCACATACACCGACAAATGAACAGTACTGGCTACGAAACGTAGCCGCTACGTGGACTACGCGCGGCTGGTGCTACGAAACTGCCGCTACGGCGGTACGAAGTTAGCCGAAGGTCGGCGAAAAGAGCCGAGCTTCGGCTGGGGGAGCCGAGGCGAATTTCGCTCAGTCTTTCATATTTTATATCGGTCGGGACGAAGCGGAATTACAGAGTTTGCTCGGGTGGTTTTTTATAGAGTAACGGAACCATAGCGGCTGGCTACCATTCTATTTCGTAGGTATTTTTTCGACTTGTGAGCTGTGCGCGAATTTTTCTACATTGTTTGCGCTGCCCTTAGACAACTTGTGATTTTAACAGCGTGACGTAGAGAGTACAAAGGCTCCATTGAAGCTAATACAAGCTGGCGTGTTTGATGTTATTGTAACGACTAGGAATTATTGTTAACGTAGTGCGAAGGTAAATTCAAATTTAATGACCTTTAGCGGCCGAATTATTCTGTTAGTGTGGTTAGTTTTCGTAGAATTGCGTGTTACAGTTCTGCAATTTCCTCGTGAATTGGATTTTGTAGTTGAAAAAGGGGTCCTTTGAAGTTTGGAGTTCTAGATGAAGGAATAATTTATTCGGTTATGTAGTGTATAATCAACAACATAGACATCTAAGGTCGTACACAGTTGATATTTTCCTAGAAAACGATAGATATTGTAGGAATAATTTATTAAAATAATTACAAACGAAATAGTTTAGTAATTATGTATAGTCAACTTGGAAAATATCTTTCACTCTCTAAGAATTTAGGATCTGGTTACAATTCTCTTCATTCGTCTTTGTAGTTGTAATTATTTGAAAATTGATTACATCAAAATTATTAAGATTAGGTAAGTTAAATTAGTCGTTTCGTATTTTCTATAGTGGATTCTTTACTAAGGATTATGAAATTTCAACCGAATAATGTACACTATTAGAGCTGGAAATTGAAGAGGTCACAGTTAGTATTAATTATTTATATGAATGTATGTAAAATGATATTGTGACATAAAAATCATGGCTAACTTAAAGTAAGTTTATGATTTCCTTGAGGAAAACGACATTACGTTTAAGTTCGTATTATTTGTATTAGGAAAATTCATCATGAAAATTTTCTACCGCACAGAGTCAAATTATACGGCTACCTACAAATAAAACCCACAGTTCAGACCAACTCATGATTAGGAACGCAGCTTACGTAAGCATTCTAAATTCAAATCTCAATAGTTTCTCATACAGACTTAGACTATTAAAATCGATTCGCAAAAGCAATTCGAATGATTCGATTGGATTCAATCGATACCTATTTGCGGATAGTGATTTTCAACTATTCGAAGATAATTGTGATTTTGTATGCAAAGCCACTGTTTTCACTAAGAAATGAATGGATTAGAAAGTGGATTATGGGATTATTTCACACAGGTTCTGAATAGTTTGTTCTGAATGTTAACCCTAGAGAATTCGCCGTTTGTAACTTTTATCCACCAGAGTATCAAGCTATCCCTAAATTGCTATTTTTTAAAATAGATTGTATACCTTATTGGAAGAAGTGAAAGTTGAATATTAATTATCAGAAAAGGGTATCTTGATGTGCTAGTACCGGTTTTAAATGTCTCGTCCCGTTTTTGTAAGTTTATAATTATTAGAACTTGAGATAGATAAAAATTATTTTTGTGGAAAATATGAAAACTTTTAAAACTTCTCATTTTTAACATTCTTGGTTCTAGGGACGTTATTTTTTTGTATAAGTAACTAGCTTCTGCCCGCGACTACGTACGCGCAATCTCGTTTTTTCCCGTTCCCGTTCGTGATACTCGGTAAAAAGTAAAAAAAAATGATTAAAAGTACCCTATGTCCGTCTCCTGGTTCTAAGCTACCTCCCCACCAATTTTCACCTAAATCGATTTAGCCGTTCTATAGTTATAAATAGTGTAACTAACACGACTTTCTTTTATATATATAGATTATAATTAAGTAGCTTTTGCCAGCGATTTCGCCCGCGTTCCTGTGGAAAAAAACTAGCCTATGTGTTATTCCATACCATAATAAATTGCAAATTTCATTTTGACCTCTTCAGTCGTTTTGACGTGAAGGAGGAACAAACAAACAGATATACAAACTTTAACATTCATAATGCGGAGTATTAGTAGGATACGTAGGAACATATCAGGTTTCGATGTACAACGGAATCGATGTTATATTGTAGTTAAAATTCATATATGAGATTTAATTTCCTGTAGTCCTCGATTTACGATATGCATTCACTATGAATGAAAAACAGATTTTATTCAGTAAACGTTGCTTGACCTCTTTTCTTTGTTGGAAGAGTTGAAAGAAAATTGGTATTCAATTAAAGCGTAAACTTCAAAATTGAAACATAATATTAGGTTGTTTTCCTGGAATGTGTAGGCAGTTGAGCACGTCATCTGTAGACGTTTAAATTCTGTATTGAAAATATTTAAAAAATAGTAGGGGTGTTACTAGATAGATACAGAACCCAAAAATATGATTAAAAATATTTTGTCTGTCCGTCTGTCTATATAGTAACGAATCACGCGAAAACTACTGATCGGATTGCGATGAAACTTGGTAGGATTATACTTTAATATCGCACACACACTACATTTTATCCTGAAAAAGTATTTACACGAAAAAACAAACTTAATTGTGCGGCTCCATCCCGAGCCCCGGTAACTCGTTAGGTTCTCTGCGACTCCGTATCGGCATGCAGCAATATTGGGCCCCATCCGTGGTGGTCTGATGGCTCTTTGCGGCGAGTGCGGAATGCGGCTGAAGGGACTGGGATGACATTTGAAACAGAGGTAGAATATGTTCTGAACTCAATGCCAACTGTTGTAAAATACTTTATGGAATGCATTATAGTATTGAATATCAAGTAACACATAGACTAATTTTAACGCCTGGCAACGCGGGTAAAGTCACTGGCAGAAGCTAATATGCAATCATTATCTCTAGGCATGTTATATCATATCCCATGTAATTCACATTTCCATACAGACATTGACATATTAAAAAAAAATACAACACAATAAAATTGGTTACTTGCCAACTAGTCAAATTCAATACCTACTTTTTTCGAACTGTCAAAAACGACAGTTTTCTTATGAATTTTGTACGAGATTGTGTATTGTGACGTCACGTTTTATAGCGTCAAGCAGCATACTCATTTCTTAAAAAATAGCTGGAAAAATACTAAAAATAAATTAGACATCAGATCAATTAATGAAAGTGTGATTGTTTTTTAATATTTCATTTTATTGAACCGTAGAAATAAACGTAGAAAAATTTATTTTTGATTAAGGAAATTGACTACCCAATTGTACTTTTCCCGACCCGATAGTCGAAACAGAACTGAATACTTGTACTTGCGACCGCCCACCTAACAAGGCATTCCTTGTCTATTGATATATCTATTCGTGTCAATCAAATAATTATTATATCAAATACGTTGAACACAAATGTTTGTACCTAAATGTTTTTCTTAGTACTAGTTACACACTCCACGTGTACATGACAAAGTAGGTTTGACCTTGGAATAAAAAGGCCTTTAATTAACAATGATCTACATTTTAATACGATATATATGTCTGCATGAATGCATGATATGAGTGCATGAATGCATAACTGTCATTTATTTTATATTGTGTTATAGTAAATGTCTTATTATTTATATTGTATATTATGCTTATTGGTATTAAAACCTGTCATAGTTTTTAAGGTATTTTCCTGTTCTCATTGTTTGTTTTAAATTGTTTTTACCAAGTTTGCAATTTGTCATTTAATTTTAAGGACAGCGAGCATGGGTGGCTCCCCGTCCGACCAGAAACAGACCCGAGCGTACGGCGCGTCGCGTTCCACGCGCGTCTCAAAGAGCCATCAGATGGGGCCGATTCGGAGTCGCGGAGAACCTAACGGGTAACCGGGGCTCCGGCTCGACGTGCTGGAGAAGGAACGGGGTGGTTTTTAGTCAGTAAGAGTCTAACACTCCCTGCCGTCTTACCCAGGCGGGAGAAGTCATTCGATGATTTCCCCCCTTCAAAAATAAAAGTATAGTTCTGTCTCTACAAATTATTTGTAAAATGACAGAGACGGCACGATGTGTATAATTTACAAGATCTAATACCTTTTATTTTTTTATTTAAAACACTGCATGTACAAAATTATACAGAAACGTGTTATAATAGTTTTTAAAATGCTAACGGAACAAAATGAACAGATATACATAACATATATATACTGCAACACAAACACTACATACGAATATTATTCACATTACAAGTGTTATACAGCAGGTAAATATTTACATAATAAAAGTAATATTTATTTAGTTTAAATACATACTGAAGTTAATTTCACAGTTTCGTAGATTGCTGAAGGATTGGCTTTGATACCTAGACGTGGAAGGACAATATGTGCGCTTTACTTTTATTTGAATTATTTTCATTTGTATGCTTCCTTAGCCATGCTTCGGCACGAATGGGCCGGCTCGACCGCAGTGATACCACGGCCTCACAGAAAACCGACGTGAAACAGCGCTTGCGTTGTGTTTCGTTGTGTGAGTGAGGTTACCGAATGCTTAAAACTCGCATCCAAACCATCAAAAATCGCAAGATAGAATATCTCGGTCACGTACTGAGACATGACAGATACATGCTGTTTCATATTATTATAATGATGGGTAAGGTGGAAGGGAAGATAAGCGCTGAGTGAAGGATAAAGTCGTGGCTGCGCAATATTCTGGAGTGGACAGGTATCAGCTCTGCGGAACAACTTTCCCGCCTGACCAATGACAAGGACCAATTCAAAAAGCTGACGGTAATTAGTGGTTAAACAAATCTTAGAAAGTACATATTATTATAACTCGGAAAAAGTTATATTGGTACGTGCCCTTGGTAGGTTTCGGGCCCACGAAACAGATAAGGGCACACCCTCATGCATTAGAAGTCAACGTCTTCAGCCTACGAGCCACCATGACAACCTATGTAGACCCATCAGATACAATAAAAAAGAGAATT